AGAGCTTTGCGGCAAAGCATCGGATGCCAAAGTCACAGGAAACGCAGATAGAAACCGTACGGCATGGGTGGTAGGAAATGAGGAAGAGAGAAGAGAAAAAAGGTGTGATGATGCGTGGGAGACAGTAGCAGCTGCTTTCAAAAAAAAAGAGGAAAGGAAGAGTTGAACGCTGGCCGCGCCGCGCCGATCTATTTTCCTCTCTTCGATTGTCGTGATCTTTCGGTTCGACGCATGGAAACATAAAATGAAATGCAAAGAAAAAGTGCGACGAGGACTCTGTCTCTCTCTCTTTCGGCAAACTTCGGAGCGCCACGGGTGGTCTTGTTCGGAAGGAAGCGCAGGAAGGTTCACTCGAGAACAGTTTTTCAAGACAGACAGACAAAAAAATTGGAAAGAGAAGATCAAGTGGAATGAGATAGGGAGACATAAAGATAATGTTTTTTTAAAAGTGAGGATTACGGTAGCTTGTCCTACTAGAAGTCTCTAGGAAACAAGAAAGACTTACATAACGTGCTGATTACCTACTATCAGACTTATCATGAGAGTGCTAGCTGGCACAGAGCCAAACAGGTGCTGAAACGTTCGAGCAGCAGGGACCACGGGGGTCGTACTGAGAGTCCTAGGCATGTATGCATGTGGGAAAAAGCAGGAAAAAGACGGAAAAGTGACATAGGGGGTGAGGTTGGGGGGAGGGGAATGTTTATAGACGAATTGCTCTTTTTTCTGTTGGCGTGTCCCTCTCCCCCAGGGCAGTAGTGCGAATGTTGTGTTGTATGTCTATTTTTTCTATCCCTTCTTCTTCTTCTTTTTCTTCTTCTTCTTCTTCTTCTTCTTCTTCTTTTTTCCTTCTTTTTCTGTCTCACTCCACAAACGCTCCTCACCCCCAGGGCGCTTCAGAAGCCCAAGCACTTTGAGGGCGGCCTCCGGCGGCTCCATGCATGTGACCTACGACCAGCTTCTAGAGGCGCTCACCTCTCTCGGGCTTGTCTTTGTACTACTAGTCACTTCTGGAACGAAGAAGAAGGAGAAGAAGGGCGGCGACCAGTGGTCCCTGCCTTCTTCTTTTTCTGCTTCTTTCTCTTTTTAGCCTCGTCGTTGCAAAAAGAAAAAAAGAAGGAAGAAAAAGAAGAAGATAAAAAAGATGACGGACCACTAACACAGCGCCGCGTTGACGAAATCGCGCGGAATGTTGAATGCCCTTCATGCTCAGTTTCTGCGTCCACTAGAGACTTTTCCTTTTTCGGAATTTCCTATGTGTACGCATGCTCTCTTTTTAGGATATGTGCTTTTTCTCTCTCAATCTTTCATTTTCCTCTTGCTAGAGAAAAGTTTTTTTCCAGGGGCACTTGTACGAATGCATAAAAATATTAGTTGTCCTATGAAAAAGAGGAAAATGGAACAACTTGGAGTTCAAAAAAAAATATAAATAAGGTTAAAAACTATAGTTCTGAAAATATACATTTTTGTTGAAAATGGGGGGACTAATTACAAGAACGCATCTTTCGGAATGCCGTCAAACATTGTGACGCCCATCTCTGGAAAGGAAAGGAATCTTGAAAAAAATGCGACCAAGTGGGAGAAACCAAGAACCCAAAGGGACTGAAATGAGGAGAAAGAGGAATTCTGCCAATTTCCTATATATTTCCTTATAGACTTTGCACCATGACACCGAGATACATACATTCCCTTAGTCAAAAACACCCGGCCTATGCATTTTCCCCTTTTTTCCTCGCACCTTGCCCAATTGCCGTATTGCTCAGTGGTGGTGAGCTCTCATATTTTTGCTCGTTGTTTATCTCGAAAGGAACAGAAAAATGAACTCTGCGTCTCTCTCCCATATGACGCCATAACAGTGGGCGGGGCTAGATAGTAGAATTGGCTACGATTGGACACACAAATGAAACAGAACGAGACAAGAAAAAAAACAGTCATATGACCAATAGTCACCAATTATTCTATTATTTTTCAATTTCCTCTCCTTTTGTCTCATTTAGTTTAAGACCCGAACTTTTTCCCTTAACTGTTTATGACCTTCAATTCTACTAATCTACCGTACAAGGGGAAAACAGTTTCACGTTTCACTACTCATCAAATTTGAACCGGTCAAGTGAAAAGAAAAAGAAAAGAAGAAGAAGGAGGAGGAGTAACAGCAAAATAAGAAAAGAGAAGAACCTACAGTAGTAAGTTAAAGATAGACTGAGTGTTCCGCCCGTCATTCCTTTGTTATTGATGAGTGTCCGGGGTATTCGTTTGCAAAAAGGGAACCTTCTCTCCGAAAAAGTTCAGACACGGGGCACTGGGGAATTCTGGAACGTGCGCTGCTGCTCGAGGAACAACTTTTTGATGAATGAGGTTTAGTTCGCTTCTTCTTTTTTTCTCTGCTCAAAGAAAAAGAGACGTCAGTGTTCAGAGGCAATGATGCACTCTTTTTAGCCGATCCTGGAACGAGCCGATGTCTCAAAAGAGGAAGACGAGGGCATGTGACAACTGTGTGTGGGCATGTGATGAGTAGTAGTTGAACAACGGAACACAGAGGCAACATTGCGTAGTAGTAGAAGTATATACACACATAAATACACTTTGAATTTTTTTCCTCTTTTTTTCCAACTACTCTCCCTGCGGCGGCGGCAGTTCTATTTACTGGCAACCTGCCAACAGCCACTAGTTGATGGAAAAGGAACATGGTAGTTGTCCTTCTGAGGACAACTATAGTACGATACTCTGGCGGTTAGTTGCATAAAACGAGTTTTTGCGCAAGAGGCACTCCGTTTTCGCACTTTTCCGAATTTATGTGTAATAATAATAATGTATAATAAAACTCTCGTTCCTAGCAAACTTTTTTTTCCGTTGCGGCTTACTGTAGGAGAGGGACGAAAAAAGAAAATAGACAAAAAAAAATTAGAACCTTATGAAAAATGAAAAAAAAATTGTGTGTATGTGGGGGAGGACAAAAAAAGTAAATCGGCGAACGGCGAACTTTTTCAAAATGTTTACATTTTCGGAGCGCGCGGCCAACAAAAAAAACCGAAATTTCGGCAAAATTCGTCATGTGACAGAAACTCTATAATACAGAAAAACCTCCCGTGTTGATCGCCTATTCTTGATTTTTTTGATCTGATGATGGTCACGTTCCGAACACTTACGTCTTAAAACAGAAAGTGATGATATCATGAGAGGCAGTGAGTAACCTTCTTAAAAAAAGAAAGAAAGTCAAAATGGACATAGTTCTAAACCAGGTTGGTCTTGCCATAGTTTTTTTTAGAATCAATATTTCTAAACCAACCACATTGCATATGATAGAATTTGACAAGATCTACAAAATGATACTATTCCGAAAATTTCATCTTAACTATGAACAAAGTTACAAGCCGTGAAATTTGTAGAACTCGTCGAATTCTATCATATCTTATTCAGTTGGTTCGAAATTCAAAAAAAAAAATATGACAGGGTCCGCGAAAAGGGCCAAGAGCTTATGAAGATGGACAATAAGAAAAAAAAAGTTCGGGAAAAAAAAGAAGAATAAGAAGTTTCGGAGCATCCTAACCTTTTCAGAGGAGATGCAAGACGCAAAAGAACGATGCAAATGAGATTAGTTTTTCTAATCTTGTCCTCTACACATTCCATCCCCATCCAAATACAACTTTCCTAAGAAAACTGGAGAAAAAAAATTCAGAAAAAAGAACCAGAACGTCTATGCCCTAATCTTGAAGCTCTTCTTCTCCGATAAAGTGGAATTCTAGAATGTTTTTGGGAGTGGAAGAGGGACTACATTTCTAGAACACACACACACACAAATATTTTCTATATATGCCCTACTACGATATAATCCGCTAATCCGTTCATATCACAGAAAACCTAATCTTTGCGAAAGAATCTTTTTCTGAGCAAAAAAAGCATACATATTCCGAAACTGGTTCTAAAATTATACGTCCGGGTCATGGAAGAATAGAAATATGCAAGGTCTACACACGCTGCTAATAGAAAATTCAGGGACTCTGAATGTTGCCATTCCAAAAAGTTTTGGGACGCGCAAAAAAGAAAGACCTACACATACACTTACATTTCCGGGGCCCACTTCTTCTCTTTTTAGAATATATGTGCTCTTTTCATCGTGTGAGTGCTCTCTCTCCCTGTCTCAAGTTCTTACTTGGTTGCTAGGCATTGTGGAACTCCGCCCCTCCCAAAAGTAAAAATTTCTGAGGACTACAAGAACACCGAACACCTATGGAACAACTGAAAGAAGCTTATATGAGGATGAGCTGATGTTCTAGGGGGAATGGATAATGCGAATGTTTACAGATGCTCCCCCTCTTCTGTCAACACTCGGGCCAACTATCATATGTTTCGTATTTCAAGGATCACGTGATTAGAAAAACATTCGGTTTGATGCCAGCATGCTCCTCTTTTCCTGGAAAAATAAACAAACAGAGGTTCGAAGCATGTGATAGGAACTAGTACGTTCTAAAACGAGAAAAGGGCAAAAGTATCATGTTGCCTAAAATAACGAAAAAAAAGAGGATTCTAGAATTATGAAGTGCCTTAGAATAGTTGTACTATTTTTTCCTCTCCTCGAGAGTCTCCTAATTGCCTTTTTTGTTATGGCCGGCGTGTGCAATTCGTCACATCTCTATATATAAAGTGTGTAAAGGAAGAAGTAGTTCATATTACATAACTTGATAGAGAAGAAGAGGAGGGAGGTCCTAGACAAAGTTCGAGTTCCATATGACTGGACACGTCTTGAGACACTGAAAAGGAAAGGAGAAAACAAGACTGCCTGCACGTGGGAGCAAAAAGAAGACGGGGAGGGACGTGAAGGACTACTTAAACAATAACAAGAAAAGAAGAACATTATAAACAAGATTAACGAAGTATAACGTGAAAATAATAATCATAGCTTCTGAAAAATTGGTTCTTTAACGCTTAGTTCGGCAGTTTTTGATTCTTATTATAAACATTATAAAATCATAATTTCTGAAAATAAATAATCGGAATAAACGTACTTCCTCAGCTCTACACATCCCTGACACGCAGCCATCGACTGCGACCGTTCCGTTCCGTTTCCCCATTCCTCGCAACTCAATTCATGTTCCGTTGTTGTTGGGTAGCAATGTAATAAGTTCATCGCCACTGTTCTGAAACATCAAATTTTAGTTGTATTTATTTTCTAACATGTAGATCGAGTACCGTATTTCCTTCAATAGAAGCTCAAACCGTCAACTTTGAGTTCAATTATCTTGATTTCTGGGGAAGATATCAAAAAGTTGCCAACTAGAAAAATAATTGTTATAATATCACCAAAATTTTATGAGTTGGCTGTTTTTTCATATCTTCTACAGGGATCAAGATACAGTACCAGTCAATAAACTATACAAAAATTATTTTTGTTGATTTCCGGTAATTTAGACCATTTTCAGTAGCCTGAAGCCCAGCTGCCTAGTTTCCAATCACCTAAAAAATGCTGTAGGGTGTCAAACAGACATAGATTGAAAACTTTGCATTTACATACTTTTTCAAAGCTTCCTAGTTATTCAGCTATTTGGCGATTCCTGAAAAACACCATTTTTTGGACTGTTTTTTGCACTGAAAAGTTGAGAAAAGACTCAGTCTTTCTTAACTTTTTCAGAGCAAAAGCCAAAAAAGGTGTATTTCAGAAATTGGAAAATCCCTGAAAACCTAAGAAATTTCAAAAAATTATTTAAATGCAATAGGCTAAATTTAGGTTTTTTTAACGAGCTTTAATGTTTTCAATCAGATTGGAAGCTTGACAACTGGGCTCCAGACTCTTGGAAATGTTTAAAATAATCACGTTTTAGGATGCCTTATTGAGGGATACTGTAAGTGAGCTCAAATCTGACGATTGGAATGACCTTCTATCAGAGGGATCAGTTGTTTTTAGGTGAGGTGAAGAAAAGCTTAAATTGTTCAGGGAAAGTGTGAGAAAAAAGAAGCGACAGGTGATTTAAGTGTGAAAGGGGAATGGCATTTTGTATTTTTCTCATTTTTGTAATTTTCAGTTCATATATGCCTCTCATCATATTCTTCATTTATTCATTTCACCTTGGGTAAAGACCCCCCGAAGAAACATTCATACATAGACACCGGTTCTTCCCCATTTCTATAATCAAATTTCTCTTGTTGCGTTGTTGTTCAATGTATGTTTTCTCGACTTGTTGGCTTTACGTTTCACGAAGATGAAAAAGAAGAAGAAGATTCAACGTATACATGTGTGGGTATGTATTTGATTCGTTCTTTTTCCTCCCCGTTTCCCCTTTTTTCAAGCTTTTTCAAGCAATTCTCCAAGAGTTGTTGCGCTCGCTTTCATTGCTTTTTCTTCTTTTCGTTTTCTACTTCTCATTTTTTCTTGCTCGTTTCCCCCATGTTTGTACGCATAAGCTCCGCCCCCTTCCAACTAGTTCGGCGAGCAACGGACCTTTACGATTGGGAGGGCAAAGTGTACGACCGAACACACACAGAATAAAGAAACAACGAGTGAATATTCAGAAAGAAAAAGAAGAAGAAGAAGAAGAAGGAAAAAGCGCGTGCCCCCCCCCCCCTTCTCTCTTTTCGTATCCTGGCTCTGTGAGAAACGTTACGTCCGGGGACAGAATTGCAACAACATTCCGTGAAGAAAAAGTTTCTTTTTTTCTGTTTGAGGGACTTTCAGGACCTTGGCGCATGCATGCAGAACCCTACAGTAATTTACAAGACGAAGTGCAGTACAGTAATCCCAAAGCAGTAACTAACTTACGGGGGTGCAGTGTGCATAGCTCGAAGCTCACAGAAAAATATGATAAAAGTTAAAGATACCTTTTGCATAGATCGACCAATGATTGTTCGATATTGGGCTCTATTGGTTGACCTTTGCCCATTACTCAACGGTTCTCTGGAAATTTACAATTAGGACTACGGTCATAAATGAGCCCGAAGAAAAGATATGAGTGGAACATAAAAAGGTTTATAGTTTGCTAGACTTTTTTTTGGGTTACAGTATCTATTATTAGTTTAGAACATCACTTTACTCATTTTCCCACGATCCCAGAAATTAGTTCATTTCCAACTTTTTCCCACGCATTTATGTATTTATGTTGCTTTTACATGACGGATATATATTCATATTCTCCTAATCCATCATCTGATCCAATGGGGGGGGGGGGGGGGAGATTAAAATTAATCATGTTTCATCAACGCCATTTAGTTAATCCATTTTCAAAGCGGTAGGTCATAAAAACAGCTGGCTGAGTTCAAATATTTTTGCAATTTGAGATTATGTATCAATTCCGTCAAAGCAAGCAGAAGAGAAAAGGAGAGGCACAAATCTAATGAGGGGTTTCAAATATCGTGCACCGGATTTGTACTCGGGAGACTAATTATAAAAGTTCTGATATTTTTAGAAAAGTGTTCAAGTGTTCGTTTTGACATTTTTCAAAGAAAAATTCGAAATTAGAATTTGAAGAGCGCAGAACAAACTTTCAATATGAGTTATTTCCGGAGATACGTGGGAAAATAAGATTTGGAAGGAAAAATTCGAAAGTTGGGTTACGGTAACCAGGAGAACTAGAAAGTTGATTTCCAGGATTTCAGGGTACCTCAATATAAAAAAACATGTCTCGAAGTTTCAGAAAATTTCAATTACTTTGAACCATGTTTTCATTGAATTAGAGATTTGGATTACGGTAGTTGGAATGAATTTCTGGACAGAAGTTGGGAAATTTGATATAGAGCTACATGAATTAAGTGAATATAGGTAATAAAAAGGGGATTCAAGATTCAATAAGCTTGTTTGGAAAGTTGGGTTACTGTATTTTTAGAAATAATGTTAAAATGAGTACTAATTACTTGAAAAGCAGAGAAAAATCAGTAAAACTGTTATCAGTGAACATGGAACAGGGTTTTTGTAGCTCAAAACGTTTGAAAATATTCGAAAAAACAAATGTTTCGAAATTACCAAAAAATTTCGTTTTTCAAAATTTAAAGGGATCATTTTCAATTTCTCAACGTTTTAAATTGAAGTGAATCAACTCAAAGTAGTAAGGCTACTATCTCGGTGACAAACTTTGAGCTTGTAGGTTACTGTAGCAAACTTTTTTGGAAATTTCAAAACTTTTTTCTAATTTTTCAGATATTTTTGCTTCGAACTACACAAACACAGTTCCTGGTTATGCTGAGAAATGGATTACTGTAACCTTCCTGAAACAATTCTCCTCTAAAAAACTCAGAGTGCAAAAGATCGAAAAGTATTATGATATTTTGAATACATTCTTCCGTTTCCCCCCTGTTTTCCTGCTCTTTCCGTGGCGGTGTCCCCCGCTATTCGAATGTTTTAATACGTCTAGTCTCCTATTTCCATATGCTCCCGTCTTCTTTTTCTATTCCATGTTGCGCAACCTAATAGCCCCAAGTGCCCACCACTAGTAGTAGCCGTCCGAAACTATTGGTCCCACTACTCAGCTCGCCCTAGTCGGTTTCCCGTTTGCTTCTTCTTCTTCTTCTTCTTCTTTTTCTTTTTCCTCCCACCCCATTTCCCCCAAATTCCTCGATGGCGCAACGGGCAATGTTGTTGCGGCACCATTCGAAATGAGAAGAACGTGTGGGGTGGCAAAAGCAAAAATGCAACACACAGGGAGGAGCACATGGAGAGAAAAGAAGAAGGATGGGCTCGAAAAGAAAGAAGAAGAAGAAGAGCAAAAGAAATGAAAGGGCGAGCGACCGCATTGCCGAGGAATGAGAAAACGCACTGGGAGGAAAAAGAAAGGAAGCGTTGCGAGGAAAAGTGTGCTCTTTTGCTCACGCGCCTCGCGGCAGTTGTACGCGCTGCCATTTCGTACTATTCCGCAATGCCAGACAGCGCCCCGAATGCAAGTTTGCATGCATTAAATAAATGGGTGGCCTTGGAGAGCACAGACCTGGCAGACAAAACGAACACACAGGTTTAAGCAGCGGTGTTTAGAAAAGCTTGAAATTTCGAAATTCTGGGTGCTTTTTGAAGCTCTGGGTGGCAGCAGGTGGAAGTAAAATAAGCGGAAGCAAAGCTGGGAGCCAGTGGAATCGGAAGTAAACGGAATCAATGAACTTCATTAGAAAAAAAAGCATAGCGAGTCAAAAAAAATTGAAGCGAAAAAATTGACGTGTTCTAAAGTGTTCCGGGAATGAAGACAACTGTCGTAACGTGTCACTCTCAAAAGACAAACAGAATTGAACGATTTCAGTCGTCGAGACGGCGCCAAGGATCATAAGTGCTCCAAAAGTACAGTGTTGAAACGATAAAATTTGTTAGGTCACACACTTGTTCGACAGTTAACAGTTTGTAATCAGAAGATACATTTTTTGCAGTTCGCAAAGTTCATTTTTTGAATCCCCTTACTACAGTAAGACATAGAAAAAACTCATGTTAGTCAACAAAGTCTCAAAATAAATTCTATAGAAATATCGGAAATAGTAACAAAAAGGGCTACAGTACGTTCCCTAGAGTGCGCCAAAATTCTTTTTTGCCCTCTATCTGTTCTCGAGTTGTCCGAACGATTTTTTTCGGTGGACCTTATTTGTTCAGCTAGGTTAGTTTGTCAATAAAAAGAAAAGAAAGAAAATAGGGGAACGAAAACTCCTTTTTTTTCGGAATAAGTGGGAAGAGAGTAAAAAGGAACGGAGGTCTTTAGATCCTAAACCTTAGCACGGAAATGTCAAAATGATAAGATTTGAAGGCAGAGCCAAGGAAAAGTACAAAAATTTAAATTTGAGGATGATAGTTATGAATAGAAAGTGCAAAATTCTGATGATGACGGAGCGAAGAAAAAGAGCACAAGACGAAGAAGAAAAGTTCGTGTTGTACAAAAAACAATTTTAAAAATCAGAAAAACGTAACACTTTGAGCATGGCACGACGAGTCCCGGTGGCAGTTAACGATCGGTACGACAGTGCATGATAATGTTTTCCGCTGGGCGCACTATTCCCAACTGAACTCTTATTTGAGCGAAAAAGTGTGAGACTGTGTGCATGTGAGCATCAAAATACTGATAAAGTTCATGTTCTCAAGCGGGAGAGGGAAACTATCATTTCTAAAACTTAATATTTGCTCTGGGAATCCGACCAACTTGTTATCAACACGAAATATTGAAAAAGGGTGAACTTAGGAACTAGGGTGCTCAAATTGGCACATCATTATTAGAGTGAAATGATTCTGGGGTGAATGGAAAAAAAAATTAGATACGAAATTCGATTTTTTTCAGGTATTTTTGTACAACCCGAATTGCAGAGTTTATACCCCTAAACTGCATTGTACCCTCCGAACTACTTGCCGCTTAAATCAAGGAAATTCTAAAAAAAAGAACGAAGAGAAAGAAAATAAAATTAAAATATTTCAATTTCAAATTCAAAAAAAAAGGAAATCGGGCGGCGGAGGGGGAATCATGTGAGAAGGTGCGGAAACAGTGCGAAGAAAAACTAGATCGTTGTTCTCATTTTTCCCTCTATATGCATTTTTGAGAAAGAAAGGTCGTAATTTGAAAAACGTCATATCAACCAGTCTCACGAAAAAGGTGAAATTTTCAAATTAAAAAAAATTGAAAATTTGAAAATTTGAATTTCGAACGTTAGGAACCATCATTCGAGATTCTTGGAACACTTTACATAATAACATTGTTAGTAGGAGCAAGAGAAGGTCTTCAATACCGTACTTACCGAAATGGTTGCAGATTTGTCAGATCTGGGAATGGAAGAATGCCCGGTGGACACCAGCGTGGAATAGACGACTAACTGCAGAAAGCGCCCTCCGAACGCGGTACTTCGATAGAAGCGGAGAAGAGGCGCCCGACGACGAGACGCACTCCCCTGCAGAGATATATTGCTATTTGGGCAAACATCGCGTCAAATCGCGAGACGCAGAGACCTCCCAGGCGCCCGAAGCCAACGCTGAATTCAAAGAGAATTTGAGAAGCGCGCGCCCCGCCGAGGCTGGACGACTCTCTCCCGATTGTTCGTACTCTTTTTTTTCGTCACCACCGTGCCTGCGCCTCCTCTGGAAATAAAAAAGGCAGAACATATAGAACGGACTGACGGTCCACACTGTCGAAACATCATGCCCGATCAAGAGGGTGATAGAGACAGAAACGACAGTCGCTTCTTTTGCCGCCGCTCCCTCCGATTTCTTCTATTTTTCTTCTCTTTTTTTCTGTTTCTTCTTGCCCCCTCCATCAAGCAGCCTCCGATCAACGACGATCGGCACGATGTTGCGTTTCGGCGGCTATTCCTCATTTCTCGTCTCAACTGACACTGGGAAAAAAGAAACATACAAACACATATTCAAAAAAAAAGAAGGAGGAGGAGATGCGTAGGACCCGACCAAAGAAAATTTACGCAACTTGGATGGATGTCGTCGGATAGTGGTTTCACAGGGTCCCATGGGATTCTAGATTTTAGGACACCACCGGAATCAGTCTATTTCTACGCATTTAGGTTGATCTACCGTAACCCATCTTCAACTTCTTAATTTGTCGTCGGAGGAAAAAAGTTTTTCTATATTTTAGGTCGCTACAAGAATGGTCGTGTGAGGACAACCAAAAAAGCGGGACCCAATTTTCCTGGCCCAACAATTCTCCACAACTTCCCATTACACATTATTCTCTCATTCTGTTTCAATTTTGCTTCCATGATTTTGTTCTTGTGACGCACTTTTCACAATGAGACTTCTTTTCTCATTCTTTTTCTTCTTTTGAATCCATCTTCTTCTTCTACTTCTTCTCAGAACATTTGTCGGTGGCGGGATGTGTGAAAGAAGGATAGAAAATAATGACGATGATGAGAAGAAGAAGATGAAGAAAAACTCGGGACCCCGTGGAAAAAAGGATGGGATGGGATGGGATGGAAGTAGTGTTGT